AAAAGCGAACTTTAATGTACGATTATTCAATTAACAAATCTACATTCAACCGCGTACATGAGATAAAGGAACTTGGTATAACATACGACAGTAAATTAACATTTACAACACATATAAGGAATATGACTGCTGATGCAAATAGGATGCTTGGATTCATTTACAGAAATAGCAAGAACTTCAAAAGTATTCTATATCGTGCTTCGGATACTGAATGGATACTAAACCATGGATACTAAAACATTCTATATTTTCTCTATCAACCAATCTTTTCCTTAGATTTTTACTGAAAAATAATTGTACATGTAGAAGAGCTGACTTTCTACAGACACTAATTACTTCTATACTCCAAGTTTCAACCTAATTGATAAACTAAGGATGAAATCACAATCATCAGATCATTCAGTATTGAACCTAGTTTTAAAACCTTTGTTAACAAACATAATTTTGTCGACTCCACTCTAGAACTTCTGATATTAAAATTTGACTCGCTTGGCACCTCGAACTTTAAGACTTTCACGCAGAAGCTTTTGAAGAAAAAACCCTTCAACTATTTCTACCGTTTCATTGAAGAAGCATATTAATCTCGTGGAATATCATCCACGACCGAGTCTCAATTGTGCTCGTCCACTTTGTTTTTATTACCTTCCTAAGCTTTTACTGGGAATTTCTTTGTTCGTTTCTGTCTTCGCTTTGGGAGTTTGTTAATTAAAATATGTACCTACCTGGAATTAGTGCTTTATTAATATCGTTGTGTTTGATCAAGCATGACTCAGATGCTAGAACAGAAATTGGATATACGGGATTTGTCTTGCTATAAAGCATTTCATTTGAATTATTACGTTTTCTAAGGGAGAAATTTTATGATAATAGAGAGTGTTCCCAGAAGTACCCAGATCATCAAAGAAAACACAAAAATTATCTACTTGCAGGTCTATAAACATTTCCCAGCGACGTTCAATAAGTTCTAAATCGTTTTTATGATAAGAACTGTCTTGGTCCTCAAAAAACCCATTAACTGCCAACATCATTGGAAAAACTTTAGACCAGTGAGCCATTTTTTCAAGTTTGGGGACAGAAAATAATCCCGGGGGGCTGAATCTAGCGAATATGGTGCAGAGGTAGCAATTCAAACTTCAATTTCTTAATTTTGGTCGCTTAAACTCTGCTACCCAATATTTTACTGCTGTAAACGAAGCAGCAGACTCACACGGAGTAGAATCCAGTTCAGCTTTTTTATTGGTTGGGCTGAGGCCTTTCAAATGAAACGATAAGCAACTTTCTCCATTTTCACAAATTCACCGAGAGCGTTCGCTATTGATGGCTGCCAAACAGGTACTAAACAACTCAGCGTCTTCAAACTTGAAACATATGCTTTATAGATTCTGTACTTTCTAATATCGCGATATTTTTCAGACAACTACCGCCATCTCTAGGGCAGGCCGTGTACTTCTGGGTACACCCGGGTATTATCCAGACGCTTCTCAATTTGATCAACTTCACTTCAGTGATTCTATTGAGAACTATTTTGAAATTTCTACAAGACACTCTGAAAAATCCGTCATCATTCATTGGCAGTATTACCACACTGAAGTAGCTCAGTTCAAATGAAGTCTGAATATTACTGAAGTTTTTTCCAACACCAAATCGTTATTTTTAACACCTCAACACGTGTTTCGATCACCAAGTGATCATCTTCAAACAGGAAGATTAAAACTAGAAATAAATGCTAGCTAACCTTATTTATGCTATAAAGGTAACCCATACAGGCAAAACCATCCAGGTGTACCACCCATACAGGTATACCAACCTAAATTAATTTTATAATTTTTCCTTATCTATTATTTTACAATATATGTTCAACTATATGAAAATTAATTTCACAATATTGCCTATCTAAATTTATTTTTGCAGTGTCTCCTTATGTAGTAATCACATTTTCAACTC